GGCATACTCATCAGTGCCTACGATTGTGGTATATTACGGAGAAGCCGCAGTAAGAGCTGCTTGCTGCCCGAAAATGCGGCATAATGTTCATCGGAAGTGGTCGAACATCTAATATATATATTAATAATATCTAATATATATATATACTTGATTAAATATACTTGATTTGGTTTTCACAACTAATCCTTCGGTCATTTCATCGATTCACTACCTACCCGGGCTTAGTGATCATCGCATTGTACACTTCACCTGCGCAATGCAACCACAGCGTCCTATGCACGCAACTAAAGTTATAAAAGATTATGCGAAAGCTGATTATGCATCTATATGTACTGAGTTGGAAGTTTTCACTGAAAAATACATTGCATGTGCCGCTGATAACACTGTAGAGGAGAACTGGGTATCGTTCAAAAATAAGTTTAATTCACTTATAGATTGTTATGTTCCTTTACGAACTGTTCGAACGGCGTTCCGCTCTCCGTGGTTCACATCAGCACTTCTTCGCTTACGTAATAAAAAAAACGACTTTACCGCAGCGCTTCATCATCTGACACCACGGAGAGATGGGCGGCTTATCACAACGCAACATTAGAATACAAAAAAGCTTATGCAGTTGCTAAACATAGTTTCTTCAGCGATACCCTTCCCTCTCTTCTACAGTCTAACCCTCGTAAGTTTTGGTGTCTAGTAAATGGTCCAAAAAATAAGAACATTGATCTTTGTGACGAACTTGGTTTGGCGATTGCAAGTGACAGGTGCTGCGAGGCTTTGCAAGACGTATTTAAAAAATCATTTTCCGTTGACAACTCCAATCATTTACCAATTCAAGCCGATCCTGGATATCCCCGAATGGAACCAATCATCATTGATCAATTGGGGCTATTTCACCTCATATTAAAAATGAAAGCCTAGGCACCTGGCATAGATGGAATCGCTCCCCAATTTCTCAACAAACTGCCACTTATTGTTCAGTCATTTTTTCACAGCTCTTTTCACAGTCATTACAAAATGCCTCATTGCCCAGTGACTGGAAGGCGGGGAAGGTGGTTCCTGTGCCTAAACCAGGTGACTCATCTAATCCTTCTAACTACAGGCCCATCACTTTGACTAGTATTCCATGTAAGCTTCTCGAACACATAATCTATTCTAACTTAATTATATTTCTCGAAGAAAATAACTTCTTTCACAACAGTCAGCATGGTTTTAGGAAACACTACTCATGTGAAACCCAACTACTTCTCTTCACCAACGACTTATTTTCAGCTTCTGACACTGGCTCCATTATCGATTGCATTTTCCTTGATTTTCAAAAAGCTTTTGACACCGTTTCTCACCGTTTACTCCTACTAAAACTAAGCATGCTAAATATTGACTCAAACACATTACGATGGATCGAATGCTTCTTATCTAACAGAACCCAACATGTAACAGCTAACGATCATGACTCACGCAATTGTTCAGTAATCTCTGGTGTGCCGCAAGGTTCTGTCCTTGGACCCTTACTCTTTCTAATTTATATTAATGACCTTCCATCCAGCATTACATCAACAATCAGGCTATTTGCCGACGATTGTGTCATCTACCGCATAATAACTAACTCTCATGATTCATCACTACTTCAATCTGATCTTGACAACATTACATCTTGGTGCTCACTCTGGTCAATGAAACTAAATATTGGCAAGTGCAAAATAATGAGGATCTCTCGAGGAAGTACTGACTGCACTAGCCCTGTTTATTCAATTTCTAATTTTCTGTTGTCGTCTGTCAATACTTACAAATATCTTGGTGTTCACATAGATAACAATTTAACATGGAATAATCATGTCAGTTATGTGATTAACAATGCTAACCGCACTCTCGGCTTCTTGCGCCGTAACTTTTCATTAGCACCTGTTTCATTAAAACTTCTTCTTTATAAAACACTAGTCAGATCTAAACTCGAATACGCCTCATCAATCTGGGATCCTCATTCTTGTTCACTTGTTAATGCACTGGAAGCCATCCAAAATCGCTCAGCTCGCTTCATTGTCGCTAATTACTCCCGTACCGCTAGCATCTCATCAATTAAAAATTCCCTAGACCTTCCTACCCTTTCTAACAGGAGGAAACAGGCCCGACTCTGTCTCTTTCACAAAATTTTTTTTATGAATCCTGAAATAAAGGGCACATTGTTCTCGTCACCTTCTTACGTTTCATCTCGCATCGACCATAACTTCAAAGTCCATGTGCCACTCTGCCATACCAACATATACTTCCACTCCTACGTGCCGAAGACTTCATCCGAATGGAACCACCTTCCTGCCTCCATCGCCAGCAACCCTGATCATGCATCATTCAAGACTGCCATCTCTAACTTGTAACCACTCCTCTCTGTAACGCCGCAAATGGCATTGAGAGTATTTAAATAAATAAAATAAATAAATAAATATATATATATATATATATATATATATATATATATATATATATATATATATATATATATATATATATATATATATATTTATATATATATATATATATATATATATATATAATCTACACTGCCCACCACGCTTGTATGGTCATGGTTCTCGACGGCTACCCGGAGGTCGTGGGATCGAATCTGGCATAGTGGCAGCCGCATTTCACTGGAGAGAGAACGCTAGAGGCCTGTGCGCTTAGATTTAGGTTATGCTAAAAGGACCCGCATGGTCGATTCCTTTCGAGCCCTCCACTACAGCGTCTCTAGTATTCGTATCGTGGTTTGGAAACGTGAGACAACCAACAATCATTATAATATTGTTAACCATACGAGCTTTATCCATATACGAGCTGTGAACACGGTGGTGTTTATGTAGGTCTTTAGCCATAAACTATGGGTCGTTGAAGTCATTGCAAACTAGCAACCATTGAGCGATGCTGGGACGTTCTAATAACTTCCTTTACTTTAAAGTTACTCCCTCCCCCCCTCCACTGCGGTGCAACCTCAGTAACGGTGAATGGAAGAGTCACTCGATACACGGAATTTTCAGTTCATGCTGTCTAAACAATACGACAACCTTTAACGTTCAATAGGTTCGTATGTCGCAGACTATATGACACCACAAATGCAACCGATGACTTTCGTGGTACCCATAACGCGATGCGCAGTTTTTAGGCTTCGAGCCAACGCTTGCAAATGAATGCACTGCAGGCCTCACCGCCTCTTTCGTTAGTCTGATCGCTGTAACCCGAGTATTTCAACGATGACGAAAGCTTCGTTCAGAAATAGCTGCGATGATTCCAGCCCGAGACCAGATTGCTCTAACTGGGACACCTCCGCATGAATAAGAGATCCAGGAGCTCGTTCCACCATTCTTCATATTTATAACCTCATAAGACGATCTTTAGAAACTTCGGATGAGACTATGAAATATGTCAAGTGATGTCATGAGTTCTTTCTTTCTTCAACTTCATACAAGTTTAAAGAAAAGTAAACCGTAAGTAGACATAGACATCTCGGCCTTTATTGCTGTAAACAAATTGAAGTAACTTAGCTACAAAGCACCCACTAAGCCCATTCTCGTCGTTTTGAGAGTATTTCATGTTTCATTTATAGCCATGAAAAAGAAAGAGGAAGGTATCGTGTCAGATTCACTTTACTATCAAGGAAAAACTGTATTGCGCTCTTGTATACAGTTTTGCCATCTACGTGGACAGATCCGAAGAAAACTTTTCTCGGACGGAGCGAAACCAAAACAAACAAACGAAACAGAGCCACGCCATCAGCGTTGTCTACAAATGTCATCGTCACAAAGCACGGATGGTCTTATATAATATTGCGTCATGTCTTGTTTTTATTATGCGTATGCTCCACCCTTATTCTCTATTTTTGTTACGCTAACCCCCCCCCCCCTTTTTTTTTCTCTATTGTTTTTAGGTCACTCTTTCAGAAGCGCGCTCTTCGAATAACGACGTGCAGTGTCTCGTTTCGAGGCCGATGTTATCGCGAGCGATTCTGCCCGTATTTAGTATACAGCCCCGTAACGGGACATGATATACGACCGACGCTTCCGGACTGTCCGACGTTAGCAACGCCAGCTCGATATATATGCCGTAAAGACGCGAACAAAAATGTTCTTTTTTTTTCTCTCTCGAATGGCTCGCATCGTTGTCGCGCATATAGGTTTAGTGCAAACGCGAAACTTAGAAGCGGCGAAGAGAATCTCCGTTGTTTCTTCTCCCGCGCGCCTTCCGGTCTGATGGTTATAGGCCACCTTGTATAGAGACGGATGCATCTGGAGCACTGAGGCCTACGTACGCGAGTCACAGGGACTCACAAAAAAAAAGTATATTTTTGTTTCATTTCTTGCATACTGGCTACTTGTCTCTCTAATAATTTATGATATATATAGATATATATATGATATATATATATATATATATTTATAGATATAGATATATAGTCACTCCGTACGAACCAAAGAACTTGTGGAACACGATGAATGCACCTCAGAAAGCAATGCCAATGCCATCCTTATCTATTTGCCAATCAGAGCGTAATATCTGGATGCTTGAGTCATCGCTCATCAGTTACCTTATACAAGCAAAACATATAATTCAGAAACGTTAAGAGAATGTGTGTGTGTGGCGGGGGGGGGGGGGGGCGTGCGTGCGTGCGTTTTAAGTGCATCCTAATGCATCTGTGAACGCTAAAAATAAACGAGTTTCTACACTGCCCGTGACGTTGCACAGAAATGTTGTATAGGACGTTTCTGATCTTTGCTAATTTGCCATTGGCGATCTCATGTTCGGCATTGAACTGTTTTAGAGTTTGAACTTCTCGCTCCACTAATCATCAAAGCTTATTAATTTACGTACTTATAGCTCAGAAACTCTATTGTTGAGTAACCAGTGCGAGAGATAACCCTCATCAATCAGTCTATCAATCAGTCTATCAATCCATAGGTGTGTGTCTGCGGTTCACTCATTCTATCGTTATCTCTTTCTCTGCATGTTCGGTGCTGCAGCGATGGGGACAAGTCCGCAAAGAGGCCGCTCATCGTTCGCAACGTCGAGACGGGAAAGATGCTCGTAGACTCTCTGCACAAAATAGCGAGGAACGTGAGTATCTCCTCCCGACTTCCCTCTTTCCTTTTTCTTCATCATTATCAGCCCTGACAGTCCTACGAAAAATAAAAGAAACACGAAAAGGACAAAACAGGATGTACCGTAACCAGCAATCGGGCCATGAAGCGGCGTCTTCGTGCTAGATGCTTTTAAGTTCACTTCTCTTATCATACTCAGACTTCAGAGCCGATGCCCGATAAGAAAAGTTTGCCACGATAACTCTTGCTATAAGTTGGCAAGAGGATTACAAGATCCAGCCACAAGCTCGAGTTTAGTTTCACAGACTCTCTGAATATTTGGACTTGGTTTTGTAACCACGCGTCAGTTCGACTAGACCGAAACGTTGGCGACTGGCCGTGTTCCTGACACATCGTAATTACAGAGCTGAAACAGGCGTGATGCATTCACGGTGCCTAATAATCCGTTTAGCCATGTACCCTATCGGAAACCTATACCTGACTATATTGAACACTTGTCGACGCAACGCCGTAGTTACACCATAGCTATATTTCGTGTGACACGCGTAACCTCTTTATTTACACTATGACCCAAACACACAAGTGGTGAAGCTATCAGAGCCACGAAGGTCATTCACACAGGCTATGGAATCGCAAGCGTATAGCCCTTGGGGGAAAAAGGCTTAGGTATTTCTTTGTCTGTTACTTTCTTTTTATGCCTCGTGGTCTTTATATTTTTACTTTTTGCTCGCTTTTGTATTTTTGTGTAAATCTAAGCATTGAAGTATAAGAATCACAATGTAATGAAAGGTTCGCATTTTCTTATTTTTTCTCAAAAGTGTCTCACGGTGATTAATTTCTCTCCTCTGCCGAGTAGCATCTACATTCCCCGGAAGAGTATCCAAGTTCCCACTATACAGTTATTTTCGGTTTTCGTTTTATTTAATATCTTGATTTTAATACTCGTCCGGTCCTTTCCGTGCCGGCTGCATCGAGATCGATGCCCATTTCGATCTGTTAAATCCACGTGTCGTGGTCGCCGAGCGTGCATCGCCTTTATAATACGCCCCCCCGCCCCCCCTCCCCCTTCCCATCTATTCAACGACTCTCTTCGGAAACCATGAGCGACTTTGACCCCCCTTACATTTTCACACGCACGCGCGGGAGTCGTTCGGCTAATGCCGCAATCTTGTTCTCCAACACGCTGCGAAAACACAAATGATGTAAAGTACGAGCCAGTGTGCAACGCCTCGAGAAATGTGGCAGCTTGGACTAGTTGGCATGGCATGACGATAGTTATAGTGCGAGAACGAAACGACGACACAGAGAGCTTCTTGTCCTTCTTGTCTCCGTGTCGTCGTTTTGTTCTCGCGCTATAACTATCGCCATGCCTCGAGAAACGTTGGCAGAGCAAAGTGTTCGCGGGGGCCGATCTGTGTCCGCAAGCAGCGAGAACATACATACATACGTACATACATACATACATACATACATACATACATACATACATACATACATACATACATACATACATACATACATACATACATACATACATACATACATACATACATACATACATACATACATACATACATACATACATACATACATACATACATACATACATACATACGTACATACATACATTAATATATGCATGCATGCATGCATGCATGCATACATACATGCATACATACATACATACATACATACATACATACATACATACATACATACATACATACATACATACATACATACATACATACATACATACATACATACATACATACATACATACATACATACATACATACATACATAAAGCACGTGTACACATTCCAAATGCACAAACGGTTATCACGTAAATGCACAGGGATTGTCAGGAAGTGTCAGTGTGTTCCTTTGATAGCCTCGCCAGCTACACGTATCCCCTCACATGCCACAATCATTAGCTTTTACACAAGTTATTAATATATTATTTTAACAAATCGGCTTCTTTTTCAAAAATAATTTTGGGACATTCCTCCTCTTAATTTATGTTAAAGATTGGTTTAAGCCAGTTGTACCTTCCGGTGGTGTGAGCACCCCCCCCCCCCTTTTTCTTGTAGTTTTTTTCCTATATACGGGTCCAGAAAAAAACACACACACGCACGCGTGCTCGCGCGCGCACGCGCAGAAATTAAACTACCATGTACTCGTACAGGCACGCACATTAGCCAAAAAATAAAGAACGCGCCTTTATGAAAAGAGAGAGAGATGCTTGCAGACGGAGTTTTAGCAAAAGAGTAAATTGCCGTTGCTGTCCCGCAGAATGTCATGTCTCATTACGGGCTGCCGTTGCCTTTTCTGGTTCACTCAGAACTAAAGTGGGCGTTGTGTGTGCAGCACTGTACTCCACTTTCCTGTTGTAATATGCGCTGTTGAAAGCACTCTGTCTTGAGTTGTGTTCCGCGACCTGCAAAGGCGAGAAGTTGCAGTACTCGGAGCAAATGTTCAGAAGTGGATCTTATTGTACAGTGCCCTCTTTTCTCGAGATTTTTGTGGGCGGGCTCACGAATCAACAAGACTATTGCGAATGAAAGAGACTGTAATGGGTATTCTTTTTTCTTCTGAAAATTTCGCTGGTTTTTCTCGATTTGATGTATGGCCTGGGCACGTGGGATTTCGGCTTCCCACTGGGGGATTCCTCGAGAGTCCATTAGAAACTGTGATAGCATAAAAATGATGATCAAGGCTATAGAGCATGGGGAAAAAATTCTTGAAGTGGTAAGCGACAAATAAAATGGAAATAATTAAAACTTTCAATTAGGGTGGTGCGCCGCCACCCGTTCTTGCTCCCGCCTTTCATGCCGCTGCCGAAGTTCCGAGAAAGACAAGCCGCCGCCGCCGCAAAATAATTGCAGCGCGCCGCAACCAACGTTGGCCGCGACCGAACGGGGAATCTGGGCATAAAATACATCACTTCGTCTTAATTTCTGCAGCTTTAAGATTTTTTAAAGTGACGTTTGCGGTGTCTCGACTGCTGTTTTGTGTTCGTGTTTGCAGCTTCTGACGACACACAATCGAGCGTGTTACTTTCTCGTAGCATTTTTCGTTCTTTTGGCGCTCTTCCTCACCCCAAAACGGTGATTCATGTGACATGTGTAGGGCGTATACTCTCAAATGGTCCATATACGAGATATACCAGTTATACATTGCTTTCTACTTTGCTTTACCATGCATATGCTCCCTCCTCCCCCTTCACGAGCGATGAATTACGGGCGATGAGCTTGTGGTTTCACTGTATCTTTTTAGCTCCCGATTGCGCAAGTGGAAATAACGCAGTTTAGCCCACAAGCTGGGAATCCTTATAGGTTCTAGGCTTAGCATTCACATCGCGCACATGCTTTATGAGGACGTAAATGTCGAAGAAATATAGCGTGTAAGAATTGTAGTGAAGGGAGTGTAGTAGAGCGTGATGGAGGACAAAATCAAACGAAGAGGCTCCGGATTATTTCATTCTCCCAACAGATACATTATTTACAGCGAGGACGACGCATCTCTCTATATAAAAGAAGCCTAGTCAGCGGTTTCAGTATATATTTTTTTGCGAGAAGAATTATACGAACACTTTCTACAGGCTTGCCCCACCATGGTGGTCTAGTGGCTAAGGTACTCGGTTGCTGAACCGACGGGTCGCGGATCGAATCCCGGCTGTGGTGGCTGCATTTTCGATGGAGGTGAAAATGCTCCAAGGATTATGTGCTCAGATTTGAGTGCACGTTAAAAACTCCAGGTGGTCGATATTCTGGAGCCCTCCACTACGGCGTCTCTCATAATCATATGCTGGTTTTGAGCTGTTAGACCCCACATATCAATCAACTCTATGCAGGCTTTCATCGTCGCTGTCATTTTCCGTATAAAGTCCAAATCAATAACTTTTATACGCATACCGTATGCTTATCTTGTCCAATGGTTGCAGCTAAATTTAAACGTACGCACGAAGGAAACAAACACTAATGCTGACACTAATAACTGGAGTTTATTGAAACCCTTCACTGATATAGGGGCGGGAATGTACGGATTAAAACATGAGGGAAAAGATTACATTGAGTAAACGAGATTAAAAAGGTCAAGAAGAGTTGGGCGCTTATAATGAAGGTGGTCATTTTCTGTAATTAACGACTCTGCGACCTTCTGGTCCGCAGTCAGTCCCCTAACCACTAGACCATGGACTGCGGTGGGTAGCAATAGAACAGAAGCCACTGCGAAAGAAAGCGTCGTAAAAACACCAACGACGATGATGACGCCCAGGATGCAAATGTGTGTTTCGAAAGTACAAAAGCTTCGAGAACAAGAATTACACGCAGATCGTAAAAAGGACGATCCATTATTGTTCTCTATTTCTTGATATTTCTCTTTCTTTTCACATTTTGACCTCTTCATAACCGTTCTCACATTTCCACCGTGCGTTCGCCAACAGAATGACGCCTTCAGTAAAAAAAATTACAAAAATAAACTGCCCGCTATCGCGTTACACGGCAATCTGTTCGGGGACGCATTTCTTTTTATTCTAAACGAGGGCAGTCGTCGTGAATATTTTAGGTCTTGAAAGCGGATCACGGTTAGCGGAGTGTATACCGGAGCTTGGTTTCTCGGCTAAAAAGCGACGGAACGAGCTTTTGCACCTTCTAATGAAACTTCGGCGTACGTCAATCTCGATGCCTTTGCTAACTTCTCAACCTGTAACTAGAGAACAATAACCGTCTTAGGATTTTTTTTAATGACTACAATATGTCTCAATGCCTCGTTGTTCTTCTTTTCTATCTTCAAGCAGCCATTTCCCGCTCTGCACGGATTCTCCTATGTGAGCTTGTGTGTCGTTGTCGTAGATTGATCGGTGCGATTCAGTGGTTATTTTTATTTCTTTTGCGCCACTATAAGTATGGATCGTGTAACCCGCGAGTACGTCTCAATAATGCCTGTCCACTGCGTGGGATCACGTTTTAGGCAGGCTTTACGCTTACCGTGCTCAAGTTTGCATGAACCTTTCTGTGGCTACTAGCCACCGCAAGATGGTCTGCCCTTTTCTCTTTTCCTTTTGCTTTTTTTTTCTCTCGCATTTCTCTTTCCATTCAAGTACGCTGCGCAGTGCTCCCTTATGGCTTACAGAAGCGAGCGTCTTTTCTGACCGCCTCAAGCCACTGTTATCACGATGTTGAAAGTAGATGAAGAGATTACACAAGAGTAAGCGCTCGCGGTGGCATGGGTGATTGTGCAGCTATAGTGTGCCCGTCACTTGATTCCGTGAACGGAAATGACGCCTGCCTATACACCTGTTACGAAACCTTGTTTTATTGTCCTGTGTTGGCTGTTTTACGAACGCGGTCAGTAATATCCTTCACCTTTGGCTGATAAAAGTATTTCTGTATCTAAACGAACATAACAAAATGCCATACGCATGAAAACGGCTGGACCAGTTCATTCAACTTTTTTGTGTCCTTATTCGTGTCACGTTATGACATGGATACCAGAGAAAACATTCGGTTATTGATTCAAAAGTTTGACACCCCTAAATCTAAAATAAAATTGTGTATACCTCCAAGTAGGGCGTCCTTCCGAAGTACCACTATTGCTTAAGATGTTGCTGATATTCAAGATGATTCACCAACAAGTCCACATTGCAACCCGACACTTGAGGTTTACTTGAAATAGACTGTACTACCACATACCGCCCACCCCCCTCTGTCTCTTTCTTGAAAGACAGACCAATATATCTTTGGGAATAAAAAAAGTTTTTATGTCTAGACCTTCTAATCGTATTCATTTATTTCTTCTTTGAATTTGCAATGTCAGCTTCATTTAGTCAAACTTCAGCGCAGTTGCGAGATTGTGTCAGACTCTATTCAGGCATGAGTTGATCCAAGTGCGCTATCGGCCACTTCCACAAAGTGCCTTTGCTAGTCAATCAAACGGCCCCGCCTCCTTCCTAAGTATCGGGGCAATGCATTCAAATTGGGGACTCGTGATAGAAAAGGAGCTTATTGATTTACTGGTCCAGATACGCTGTTGCTACCATAGACTTCCGTCGGGACACCCATTATCTCATAGCCGTAAAAACATTTTAGCACAGATTGAACGAAGACAAAGAGCACACAAAATAACGGGATCTTCTTTCTCCTTGTTCAAATGCCACCGAAAATTATCTTCAGTTATGAACGAATACCAGCCAACTCAAACCAAGATTCTTCCGGCTCACTGTCTCCTTTCACCAGTGGCAGAGCTCGGAGAAGCATCTGCATGAATTCGCTATCGCTGTTTCCTTGACTATCACCTATCTTATCTCTCTACCTTCGTTTGCGACAATATCGAACAGCTCGTCGACGAATAGGCCGCAAGGAACGCTTCCGAGGCTTCCTTCCCCCTGGAACTTGCGGCTGTCCACTTTAACTGATGGCTAGTCGCAACCCCATTTGTCCACCTCCTGGAGCCCCGTTACCGGGTCCTAAACGGGCTCGCACGTCCCTATACTCCGCACAACATGACACGGACCATTTAACATTCCCTATATACACGTATACAAGCCCAACCCGCCCATCTCTCTCTTCTTTGCTATACGAGAACACATAACTACCGAAAGAAACACGCATGCACAACCTATAGAGTAAGAGGAACAAGGGTGGAAAAAGAACTACCAACGTGAGCGCACCGTGATGCCTCGGAGGAGGCCGCAACTCGTCCCCCGGATCCCTAGTCCGCGCGCCATTTATCAAAAGCCGGCAGACGATGCTCGCCCCGCTGAGGGTGGACCGACCATGCCTCCCCATTTAGTCCCGCGACGCTGACCAATGTGCTCTGTCATAGTCCACGTCGCATGCGTGACGCGTGTCAGCTTGAACTCCTCCTCCGTTCGCTGCTGCGTATGGTGAGGTAAAGAACGAAAACGGGGATGTGGGTTGAAAACGGGAGGAAAGGAAAAGACAAATAACGAGAGCAGAGAAGAAAACTTCCCGCTACCCACAATTCCGGTCATAGGATGTCGCCGGCAACTGAGAGCAAACGCTGGGAAAAACCGGACATTATTTTTCGTTGCTTGTTTTTGCGGTAGTCTTCTTCGTTTCGAAGTGACGCGGGCTGAAAGATGGACAGCGACCAGGAAGCGGCGTGAGCGAGGACAGTCGTCGTGTGCCGTACTCGAAAAAGAGTGCAATTGTTTTGCTGTTCTCACACGCGTTTTTTTTTTATTCTTTCTCGTTCTCACAGCCCCTTCCGTGTACGAGCACCATCTGCCAGGGTTCGCTGATGTGCGGCCCGGTGCGGCGGAACGGCAGGGACCCCCGACCCAAAGAAGAGGTGCTGCAGCACGCCAGGGAGTTCCTGGACCAGTTCTACACGAGCATCAAGAGGTATACATGTATACACTATATGCCCACTGCATTAACCGGTGGGTTATAACATGGAATGACACCTGTGCGTTATAAGATATAAAGCAGTAGGGTGAGTAATGAACAGGAATGGAGAAGCTGGTTGATGCAGCGATGGTATCAAGGCTCGATATCGCTTGCACTTACCCAGTGGTATATATAGTTATCCCACCAATGTCACGACTGCTTCCGCTAGTGTTGTTTAGATTAGGCGGTACTTTGTCAGCGTTTAGTGAATATGCCACACCTGACTTACTCTGGTGTTTTGTGTGTCATTATGGCGTATAGGTATGTGCACTGTGTCAAGTCACACTGACTACGTTCTTGTATCCAAGAGCGAATCTATAGTATTGAACAATACAAGAAGGGCAATTGGCTGGAGTCTCTTAATTGACTCCATCATGTGTAACTTTAGTTGATGTTATTGGTTAGCTGAACTGTTGTTAAGTCCTTTGTTTTCTTGGTTTGTGCCGTGGCTCTGTGCCATTTCCGGGAAGTGTACCGTAGGTGTGTTCTACTAAAGGGTCATCGTTGGCCGCAAAGAATTGACAATTCTTGGATTGTAACATTTACCTTCGTATATCATGACCGCCAAGCTTCATAGCGTTACAAGGAACGACGTCGGAGGGCACCTGTAACTTTCATTTTGATGTTTTGTGCAAGGTGGCCAGCAAGGCTTATCTTAGCTTCGCATTCGCGAAGCACGGAAACTGCTATCGCTTCAGCTTAGGGGGTTTTTAATTATTTGTTTGTTTACTGCCGTGAAGCAAAACCATTATTTTTTTCTACTTTTTCAGCTGTACGGCTATTCATTATAACAAAAGCTGCTGCGAAGACACTATGTGCGCTACAATGCCAACCAAACAAGGTTACATAAACGATGCTCAGTAACTACGGCGAAAAATACATAGCGAAGTCGTTATTAGTCTCCTTAGCACTGTTATATGTAAGCACAATCAAGCTGAAGTTGAAGTAAATGTGTCGTTAGGTTAGGTTATTAGCTACGACTGCATCTAGCTCAACAAATGCAGCAACTGACTATGAAAGTTTTCTCCTGTTCAGTGCTCGAATCCACGCTCTTTTTATTGCTTCTGCTGCAAAGCTTTTATTTATTTTAGTTTGTGCTTAAATATATATATATATATATATATATATATATATATATATATATATATATATATATATAATATATATATATATATATATTGTGATGTAACAGTAAAGGCAACCTTTATTAGGCCCGGAAGACACGATGAAGCGACCACGCCCAAGGCACAGAACTCAGACAAGCCAAGTCCCCACAGCAGAAGAAGATGACGACCACTCATGATGATGAATATGTGTAAAGATAGATGATGTGCTTAATGAATGCCTACACTAACTTCCCCCCCCCCCCCACGTGAAAGCGGTCATCCTGACCGCAGTTTTTGGCCTCATTTTAAAGCGAAGATGAACGCCGTATGAAAGGCTTCATGCGGGATACGTGGACTATTTCTGCTGCCCTGTAGCGGCGGTCCGTCGGAAGAAGAACGGGTGCCACGCGATAATTCACAGGAGACGTTTGCTCCAAGACAGTGTAGGGGCCAATAAAACGTAATTGAAACTTCTCGCACAGTCCGGGAGTGCGAATGGGTGTAAGAAGGAGGACTTCGTCGCCAGGGCTGAAAAACACGGCACGATGGGAGGCATCATATTCAAGCTTGCGATCCTGTTGCTTGGCTTCAGTGTTGACGCGAACCAGCTGGCGGCAATGAAGTAGACGAGACACGTATTCTTCACTTGAAGATGAACATGGTTTGACAGGCGCAGAGAAGAACGAAACATCGAGGAAAGAAGAGGGGAAGCGACCGTGGACGAGGTAGAACGGCGAGTAACCGGTTGTGCGCTGTACAGAGGTATTATACGCAAAAGTGACAAATGGCAAAATGGTGTCCCAGTTTCTGTGGTCGGGTTCGATATACATCGCAATCATGTCTGACAGTGTACGATGGAAGCGCTCAGTCAGGCCGTTCGTCTGAGGATGGTAACTGGAGCTTGTTTTGTGTGTAGTGCCGGCTGCCTTGAGCACTTCTTCGACGAGTGCTGAAAGAAATACTCTTCCACGGTCGCTCAGGATTACACGAGGAGCTCCGTGTCGAAGAATTATTGCTCGAAGGATGAAGTCGGCCACTTCCGAAGCTGATGCAGAAGGCACGGGAACTGTTTCGGCGTAGCGGGTCAGGTGGTCGACAGCTGTAACTATCCAACGATTGCCCGTGACAGTCATAGGAAGCGGACCATACAGGTCAATGCCAACTACCTCGAATGGTTGCAGGGGACACGGGAGCGGTTGTAATTGTCCACTTCGAGTTGATGTAGGTAGCTTGCGACGTTGACAAAGGGCGCATGAGGCAACGTACTTCGCGACACAGGTGGACAAGCCCGGCCAGTAGTAGTGACATCTTATGCGGTCATACGTTTTCTGGAAGCCCATGTGTCCAGCAGACATGTCGTCGTGATATGTCTTGAGGACTTGAGCCCGAAGAGAGCGAGGTAGAACGGGCACCCAGCGTTGACCATCAGGGTGGTAGATATGACGGTACAGGACGTGGTTGTTGAGCTTGAATTGCGTCAGCTGTCGGCGAAGACGGGCGTTAGGGGGCCGGCAAGTCCCGTCAAGACGGTCCATGATGCGGCGACAGTAAGGGTCAGCACGTTGGTGAGATAAGAACAAACCACACTCGCTTGGAGAAGTTGGGTCCAAAGTAGTTAATGACGAAACATGTAGGGAAGAGACGGCCGAAAGCTTCTCGTGTGCAGCAGTGGCGGGTTTGTTAAGCGGCTCCGAAGAGAGCGGGCAACGCGAAAGGGCGTCGGCGTCTTGATGCTTGTTTCCCGACTTGTATGTGATAGTGAAGTCGTATTCTTGTAAGCGAAGAATCCAGCGACCAAGGCGGCCGGACAAGTTCTTGATTGTCGAGAGCCAGCACAAGGCGTGATGGTCCGTAACCACAGTAAAGTGGCGGCCGTGGAGATAAGGTCGAAACTTTTGTATCGACCATACGACCGCTAGGCACTCCTGTTCGGTGATGGTGTAATTCTTTTCAGCAGGGGTCAGTGCACGGCTCGCGTATGCGACGACTTTCTCACGTGAAGATTTGTCTCGCTGTAGAAGAATTCCACCAATGCCTCGACCACTAGCGTCTGTATGCAGGAGCGTAGGCGCGGTTTCGTCGAAATGGCAGAGGACTGGTTTGGATGTGAGTGCACACTTCAGTTGGGCAAACGCCGCTTCACATTCAGGAGACCACACAAAGGCGACGCCTGATCCGAGCAACTTGTGCAATGGTGAAGCTATTGAGGCGAAGTCTCGAATGAATCGGCGAAAATAAGAAGCGAGGCCGAGGAAACTGCGCAAATCTTTGGCTTTTTCAGGACGCGGGAAGTGTTGGACAGCAAAAATCTTGTCAGGATCGGGACGAATACCGTCCTTGCTTACGATGTGGCCTAACACTTTAATCGTCTTGCTCGCAAAACGGCACTTCTTGGTGTTCAGCTGAAGGCCTGCGTTTGCAAGGCACGTAAGAACTTCGTCCAGTCGTTGCAAGTGCTGAGGGAAGGTTGACGAGAAAATAACGATATCGTCTAAATAGCACAAGCAAGTCTTCCACTTCAAGCCTCGTAAAACTGTGTCGATCATCCGCTCGAATGTTGCTGGAGCATTGCAAAGGCCGAATGGCATGACGTTGAATTCATACAGCCCATCTGGTGTTGAAAACGCTGTCTTTTCTTTGTCATCCTCGTGCATGGGTATTTGCCAGTAACCTGAACGCAGGTCTAGGCTTGAAAAGTACTCAGCACCTTGCAGTGAATCCAAAGCATCGTCTATGCGCGGCATGGGGTAAACATCCTTGTGGGTAATCTTATTAAGTGCTCTGTAGTCCACGCAAAACCGCACGAAGCCATCTTTTTTTCTTACTAAAACAACAGGGGATGACCAAGGACTCGCGGAGGGACGTATAATGTTCCGTTGCAGCATATCGGCTACATTTTGTTCAATGATTTCACGCTCGGATGAAGAGACGCGATATGGTCGACGGCGTACGATGGAAGTGCCATCGGTCTGGATACGATGCCTAATAATGGACGTCTGTCCCAGAGATGAGGAATGGGCATCAAACAATCTCCTATGCTTTTGTAGCAAGGCAAGCAACTCATCTGTCTGTGAAGAGGTCAGTTCTGGACTAATAGTCGCAGCAAGAACAGTAACGCTTGATGAACGTCCAATAGAAGGAAGGTCAGAACACGCTGGCATAAGAGAGACAACAGAGACAGGTTGAGATTCAGAAACGCAAGCCATTGTGGTGCCTTTAGGAATGAGAATTTTCTCAGAAGTTTGGTTTGTAGCGTAGAGAAGTCCGGAGCCATTGTGGAATCGCGCTAGACCTGAAGCAAAGGCTATACCTCTTGCGAGACAGCGTGCAGATGGTTGGACAAACACGTCACCAGAGTCGATCACATTAGAAGTGATGGCAACTATCCGCTGATGACCAGGTGGTAGCTCGGTCTCTTCAGCAGCGAGCAAGCGAACGGGCTTGTCATCCGCATACAGGGCATAGTCAGTTTCCATCATATGAACAACATTTTCTTTACAGCAGATGGAAGCGTTCGCCGTAGACAGAAAATCCCAGCCTAATATAATCTGGTGGGCACACGAATTCAGCACAGCAAATTGTACAAAATGAAGAATACCAGCGATGAAAACACGAGCGGTGCACATAGCGGCAGGTCTAATGGCGTCCCCTTGAGCAGCGTGCAGTGTAGGTCCATCATAAGGGGTGGTGACTTTTCGTAGACGTGAGCACAAAGAACGATCAATCACAGACAAAGAGGCACCAGTGTCTATTAAAGCGTCCACGTACACACCTTCTATTAAAACAGCTATCGTATTATATGGACGCACTGGAGGAATTTCTGTCTTTTCGTTCGATGCAGCTTTTCCTCCAAAAGCTGCAGAGGTTAGTTTTCCGGGCGTTGGTTGGTGAATTGCGAGACAGGTCGCAATGGAGACGTGGAACGGCGGAGGGGTGAGGGTGAGCGGCGTCTAGTAGAGCGGTAGGAACTGGTTGGCTCAGATGTCGCAGTTGGAGACGGTGAGCGGCGTAGCGGCGGATCATAAGGACGACGTTGGAAAGCGTACCAGCTTGTCCCATCATCCCGTCCGTAGGTGTCGAGTCCACGACGCTCGTCCTGCTGACGCTTCCGACAGACGCGTGCAATGTGGCCCCGATAGCCGCAGTAATAACAGATCGGACGATGCGGCCGACACGGTGGGTGAAAGGGCTGGCTAGTCACACTCGGAGTTAACGATGCCAGCGGGACAGGCGTCGAGTGTGCGGGCATCGGTTGTACCACGGGTGGTGAGCCAGCGAGGACTTGTGCGTACGTCGGTTGGAGTCGAGGTACTGGAGTGTCTACAAACGCTGGCCTGGTCATGGACGCCAACTCCTCTTTGATAACATCCCGCAAAACATTGTTGGAGGGGGGAGGTGGACTCGGTGTCCTTGAGAGGCCGAAAGATTGTAGCTCTTCCCGTATAAGTGCCCGGATCATGGCACGCAATGAGGCATCAGTCGTGGTAGTTGTTTCAGAGCTGTCCGGCGGTAACCGTTGGGATTCAAGTTCTTCCAGGCGTTGGCACGTGGCAACAACGTCAGCGACCGTAGTCGGGTTCTGAATGACCAAGGCATTGAACGCGACCGTGCCTATCCCTTTTAGTAGATGACGAACTCTCTCTGATTCAGACATGGACGTGCTGAAACGGTGACAGAGAGCAAGCACATCCTCTATGTACGATGTGTAGGACTCACCGCATTGTTGCTTGCGAGAATCCAGTGTCTTCTTCGCGAGAGCTGAACGAACCGCCGGGGTGCCGAAAATTTGGCGAAGCTGTTGCTTGAAACGCGTCCAGTCCGTAATGTCCGTTTCATGATTGAAAAACCATGTTTTCGCTACGCCCGTGAGGTAGAAAGAAACACGGCAAAGCTTGGTAGGATCATCCCAGTTGTTAGTGGAACTCGCTCGATTGAAGTGGTCCAACCAATCTTCCACATCTTCACCTCGAAGTCCGGCGAACGTGGGCGGCTCACGCTGGTGCGTGGTGATAATCCACGATGGATAGGCCGTGGTAGCCGGGGCCGTGGAGGTAGACGCAGAAGCGCCGGTTGGCTCGTCCTGAGGCATGTTACCGGACACCTGGTACAAACGACGACCTGAGCGCAGCTCCAGGAGGCAGATCGGGCTGGGAGAGGACGGAAGATCGTAGAGCACACTCCACCACTTGTTATGTAACAGTAAAGGCAACCTTTATTAGGCCCGGAAGGACACGATGAAGCGACCACGCCCAAGGCACAGAACTCAGACAAGCCAAGTCCCCACAGCAGAAGAAGATGACGACCACTCATGATGATGAATATGTGTAAAGATAGATGATGTGCTTAATGAATGCCTACAATATATATATATATATATATATATATATATATATATATATATATATATATATATATATATATATATATATATATATATATATATATATATATATATATATATATATATATATATATATATATATAGTATTATTTTGCCGTGAACTATTGTTGAATTCCAATGGCGGAGTCGGTGCAGCCGACCGACTTCGCGAGCGAGCACTCGACTCTGGCGTAGAGCAAATCCTCGAAATCCGCCATCGGAACACAACCGGCCCTGCTGGAGCAAGGCGGAAGCTGCCGCGTTACCCAGGATACCTTGCGCGGGGTCTTTTCCGCTGTCTGTTTCCCACATGGTTTACCAGCATCGCCGCATCGTTCGTTTGCTTGTTCAGTGCTATTCAACTGTGCGGAATGGATATCACGCCAAGCGTGCAACAGCTATTGTCCACGATGTCTGCTGTCACTATCGAGTAGCAGAAGCATTGCCGCACGCCGAGGTAGCCGAGCCGTCCATGCCGTCCACCATTATCAACACAACTCGCGCCTCCCTGCCTTTCCTTGCCTCCCTGCCTTTCCTTGCATCTTTATCTCTCTCTCTAACCCTCATTTTTTACCGCTATTGTAGGGTAGCAAACCGATCACTGGTCTGGTTCACAACCTTGCCTTGTACCTCCTCGCTTTCTCTTTTTCATTCTCTGCGAGTTCATCTGCCGTTTGTGACTGTGTTCGTCATGTCTATGAATATCTCCCTAAGCGCCTAAAATAGCGAGTAAAGGCCGTCAGCTGAGAAAACATCTGCGGCTTTAAATTCGAACTCTGCATCCATCAATTGATTTGGCAAGCTCGTTTTCATCTCGCGTGTCTCTGTATAACCTCGTTTTTTCTAATATGAAGCGCTCTCGCATTGTCTGTCTGCAGGTTTCACTCCAAGGCGCACGAGAAGCGCTGGTCGGAAGTGGAGCGCCAGGTGCAGGCGCGTGGCACCTACGACCTCACCGAGACGGAGCTTGTGTTCGGAGCCAAGCTTGCCTGGAGGAATTCGGCGAGGTGCATCGGCAGGATACAGTGGTCGAAGCTGCAAGTACGAAACCGAAACTTTCACCTCAGTTGCATGCATTGCCTTAAAAGCAAACGTGTTACGAGTGATCTGGCAACTACTTTTTCTATGGTGAAAGATACCATTGTAGGGCTTCCGCGAGGCCTGATGCTGAAATATTGAGCACAACAAAAAAAGTTAGCAAGGCCACTTGCGTTGTAGTCCCAAATAATCGCTTTAAAGTGTGACTGATTGATTGATCGTTTTAGTTACAGATTTATTTAACGCTTCATTATTAACGTGGCTCGATGGCTTGGTATTTAAAGAAAAGGACAAGGTAAAAGAAGGTGATGGCAGGTTGTCTTCAGCATGAGGTGCTTTCGAGTTATAGTGAATCCCTTTAGCACACAATATTAAGAGAACGACTGCATAGTTGCAGGCTGACGCCGTGCTGGTGATTCGTTGATAGACACTGGAATTACAGGTGTAACATATTTATGCTAAGATATCATTCTCGTGTTATAAAGTAAAGTATTCTTTCCATATGTCACTCTCACAGTCAACTGCTAAGACAACACTGTCCTATAATATGACATCGATAGGCGGCCACTTATACCTGGCAGGTGTTATTGTGCCCCTTTACTACGAGTGTACTGGCGAGAGCGACCAAAAGTGATTCGAAGAATAATTGAGGCTCACTGAGCATCTTTATGCGCTGGGCTTTTGATATAAGAAGCTTGTTTAATCGGCTTTCTTTTTATCTACCCTCCAGGTTTTTGACGCTCGGCACTGCTACACTGCAAGGGACATGTATGAAGCCATCTGTGCCCACCTCAAATACAGCACAAACAAAGGGAACATAAGGTGAATGCGCTTTCTTATTTCTCACAAAAGTGTTTTATGGCGTTTTCAGGATTTGTGGACATCATTACTCCTGCAATCACTCAGCAGTATCAAGGGTGTCCTGCGCTAACTGAATGGGAAATAAGAATATATATATATATATATATATATATATATATATATATATATATATATATATATTGAAACGGGTTGTTGAACAAGCAGGCGAACTCGGCGAAGGAGAGCTTTATTTAGCGCAAGGGCTAACTGAACGCAAGCCTGCGATCATCGCAAGTCTTCTTTTTCTATCCTCGAGCTCCATGCCCACTACCCTCATTACAATCACCCCCGGCCGATGAGGGAGCCATCCTGGCGACCTAAGGACAGGTGTACACAGAAGGGTCATGGTATGGCTTGAGCCGAGAGATGTGTACGATTTCTTTTCCCCGACGGCGCTTGTCCGGAGATGCATCCAGCGGCTCGACAAGGTAGTTGACAGGGGATGTTTGGCACACAACTCGATAAGGGCCATGGTACCTGGACGAAAGCTTGTGGGAGAGTCCTGGAGTAGTAGAAGGAATCCATAGCCACACCAGTGAGTTCGGAGCAAAGCTCATATGCGTGGTTGACGCGTCGTGGCGATGTTTTTGGCGCGTCTGGTCATGTGACGTGAACGCACGAGCAAGCTTCCGACATTCTTCAGCGTGTGCTGCTGCTCGAGAAACGGTAGTCATCTCTGAAGGGTCCGGTCGATAAGGAAGAATGGTATCCATTGTTTATGATGGCTCGCGTCCATAAAGAAGGAAGAAAGGCGAAAATCCAGTGGTGCTTTGCGTTGCAGTGTTGTAAGCATATGTCACAAAAGGGAGTATGCTATCCCAATTTGAGTGGTCGGATGAAGCGTACTTGGCCAGCATATCCCCAAGTGTACGATTAAAACGCTCTGTCATCCCATTAGTTTGCGGGTGATAGGCTGTGGTAGTGCTGTGTATGATGCGACACTCGCTCAACAACGCTTTGATGGCATCGGAGAGAAAAACGCGGCCACGGTCGCTTAGTAACTCCCGAGGTGCTCCATGCCTTAAAACCAGGTTTTGCAGTATAAAACACGCAACGTCTTTTGCGGTAGCAGAAGGTAACGCAGCTGTTTCAGCGTACAATGACCCAGCGGTTGCTACTCGAAGTATAGGGAAGCGGACCGTAAAGGTCGATTCCGACACGATCGAAAGCTCGTGCTGGACATGGCAACGGCTGCAAGGGACCTGTGGCATGTTGAGTGGGCATTTTGCGTCGCTGGCACGTAAGGCAAGACCTTACGTAACGGCGAACGAAACGGTACATACCGCGCCAGTAGTACCGCAGCTGCAAGCGGGTGTATGTTTTTAACACACCAGCGTGGCCACATTGCGGATCATCGTGGAACGTGGCACAGATGTCAGAGCGCAGATGTCGGGGGATCACGAGCAACCACTTACGGCCGATCGAGCTGTAGTTTCGGCGGTAAAGCAGGTTATCTCGAATAGCGAAGTGTCCTGCTTGACGGCGAAGCGTCCTGGAAACTGGAGCAGGCGTCCGGTTTGAGAGAAAGTCCAAAAGAGATGAAATCCAAGCATCTTTGCGTTGCTCGGAAGGCATGTCCGAGATGCTGATGGCCAAGGCAGCACTAGTGGAGATAGGCGAGCCGACAGGCTCTGAAGCCAATGGCGAACGTGACAGGGCATCAGCGTCGGAATGCTTCCGGCCAGAACGGTAGATAACACGGATATCGAACTCCTGTAACCGCAATGCCCAACGAGCGAGCCGACCATTAGGATCTTTTAGTGAAGATAACCAGCAAAGCGCATGGTGGTCTGTTACAATATCAAACGGACGTCCATATAAATAAGGCCGAAATTTTCCGATTGCCCAACTAATGGCGAGGCACTCCTTTTCAGTTACACTGTAATTCTTCTCGGCTTTACTGAGGGTGCGGCTGGCATAGGCAACGACGTACTCGTCAAAGCCCTCCTTGCGTTGGGCCAGTATGGCCCCTAGCCCGACACCACTAGCGTCCGTATGAAGCTCCGTTGGAGCAGACGGATCGAAATGTCGGAGTATGGGAGGCGTGGTGAGGAGCCGTCGGAGTTCCTGAAAAGCATCATCACACGCCTGCGACCACGCTGACAAGTCAGAACTTCTGGCAAGAAGATTGGTCAAGGGGGCGATAATGGAGGCGAAATTGCGGACGTAGCGCCGGAAGTAAGAACATAGGCCGATGAAGCTTCGAAGCTCTTTGATGGTGGTTGGCTTTGGGAACGCCGCGACTGCATTAAGTTTCGTAGGGTCCGGGAGAATGCCGTCCTTAGAAACCACATGGTCAAGAATTACAAGCTTGCGAGCGCCGAAGTGGCATTTCTTCAAGTTAAGTTGAAGTCGCGCCGTGGAAAGGCACGTAAGAACTTGCTCGAGGCGGCTGAGGTGGGTCGCAAAGTCGCTTGAAAATACCACAATGTCATCCAAATAACAGAGGCACGTTTTCCATTTCAGACCTCGCAAGACGGTATCCATCATCCTTTCGAAAGTGGCAGGCGCATTGCAGAGGCCAAAGGGCATAACGGTGAATTCATATAGTCCATCCGGTGTTACAAAGGCTGTCTTCGGGCGGTCACCCTCTGCCATGGGCACCTGCCAGTAGCCAGAGCGTAAATCTAATGAAGAAAAGAACTCTGCTCCTTGTAGGCAGTCCAAAGCATCATCGATGCGCGGCAGAGGGTATACGTCTTTGCGCGTTATCTTGTTGAGTCGGCGGTAGTCAACGCAGAACCGGATGGATCCGTCTTTTTTCCTGACGAGAACAACCGGTGAAGCCCAGGGACTGTTGGAGGGCTCGATGATGCCACGTTTTCAACATGTCGTCTACTTGTTCGTCGATGACACGGCGTTCAGCAGATGACACACGGTACGGACGCTGCCTTAGCGGGGCTTGTTGACCGGTGTCAATACGGTGAACGACCGCAGAGGTTCGGCTTAAGCCTGACTGGTCACGATCGAATGAAGAACGAAAGCGGAGAAGAAGATTTATAATCTCTTCGTGCTGAGTTGGTGCGAGCTCAGAGTCGATGGCATCCGAGAATACGTCCAGAGCATCATTAGGCGCGTTGGTAGGAGTGACAGCACCAATTGGGAGCGAAACCGCAGAATCGGGTATAGTAGCCGGAAGAATGCACTCGTAAAGTTCGTAGCTTCCCAGGCATTCTCCACGTAGTAGGGATGACGGGCTGTGCGACGGATTGCAAACATAAATGGCAGCGTGACCATTGCGAAAAATGACGACGGCAAACGGAAGCATGATATTTCGACGGCACGCAGATGGGACCAATGGCATAAACAACACAGGCGATTTCGGAGGGGAGGCACACGACACCGAGACAACAACAGCTGAGAAAGGCGCAATGTCAACGTCAGAAGCAGCAAACACTCTACACGAAGCACCATCGTCGGGGTCATAGCACGGCACAGACAACGCGAGTTCAGAACGAGCACAGTCGACCAAAGCAGAATTTGACGAAAGAAAGTTCCACCCAAGGATAACGTCATGCGAAGAACGGAATAAAACTACAAATGTGACGACGTACATCGCACCTTGAATGACGAATCGTGCGGTGCACAAAGCTGAAAGCTGAATATGATGGGACGTAGCTGTCTGCAAAGATAGGTCGGTAAGTTGTGTGGTCACTTTCTTCAAGTTTCGGCACAGTTTCTCGCTAATTACAGATACGGCAGCTCCAGTGTCAACAAGTCCGTGCACCTTAATGCCATCAATATAGAGTTCGATTTCGTTCAGGGGACAGCAGTTAGGTCTTGAAATTTTCGCTGCCAACGCAGTTCTTGCCTCCGGAACTGCGCCCGTCACTTTTCCCCTCGCGGTGGGCTGTTGCGACGTAACATCGGAGAAATAGATCGACGACGAGGAGAAGGTGAACGGCTTGCGCCGGATGGTCGGTGACCGGGACGTACGTCTAGAGGTGGATTGGCAGGAAAGGGATATCGCGGCTGAGTGGGCATGGTGGGCATGTAATGTGAGGTCCCTGCATTGTCGTGAGAAGGGAAGCTGCGACGACGGCAGTGACGAGCTACGTGGCCTGGGATGCCACATGAAAAACATATCGGCCGATTATCTGGAGTGCGCCATTGGCTGACGATAGGGGCACTGTTCGCTGAATAAGGTACCGTAAATGGTCGTGCAGGCGGCGGCGTCATATAAACGTCCTGACCTGTTTCATATACAGCCGGAGACGGGACGGTCAGCGAGCGGGAAGGTGGCGTCGACGAATAAACGTGGCGAGTAGCTTCGTAGATGGCCGGAGACGCTGGCGCACGTGGTTGAGCAACTGCGGCTGCATAGGTTAGTGGTGCAGTAACAGTTGGGGGAGCCTGAGCTGGCGGCAATGCTTCGGCAACTTGCGATCGAATGACCTGGCGAAGCGAAGGCGACAAGGGTGCCATCGGCTCGGTAGTTCTTGTGATTATAGATAGCTGCCGGGCGACCTCCTCGCGTATGAATTGCTTTATGACTGGTATCAACGCCGAGTGGTCGGCGGTGTCATGGCGATAGTCGAGGGATGAGATGTCCGCGGTGTCTTGAGCAGCGCAACGTGTAGAATCGCGCTGCCTACGCAGCTCATCATAGCTTTGGCAGAGCTGAATCACCTCGGTGACCGTCTGGGGACTCTTCGCAGCCAGCATTTGGAACGCACCGTCGTCGATTCCTTTCATGATGTTCTTGATCTTGCCTGCCTCGTCCAGAGTCGAATCGACGAACTTGCAGAGAAATAGCACATCTTCGATGTAGCTCGTGAAAGTTTCATCTGCTCTCTGTACTCTGCCCCGCAAGCGCTGTTCAGCACGAAGGCGGCGGACAGCAGGACGGCCCAAAGACTTCGCGAGGGTTTTCGCCAATTCCGACCAGGTACTGAAATCACTTTGATGATTTCTGTACCATAGTTTTGCCACGTCGGTCAGGTAAAAACTCACATTTGTGAGCTTATCGGCTGCGTTCCACTTATTGACGGCGCTCACCAGTTCATACTCGGCAATCCAGTTGTCCACATCTTGGTCCTCTGTGCCACCAAATATGGGGGGGTCGCGCTGCCGGAGAGCGCCAGCGCAGAAGACAGGCACAGGTGCGAGATCTGGAGTAGCAGCATGAGATGGCCCCGGATCAGTCATTGTAGGAGGTCGTTGGAGTGTGCGGCTGCGAAGTTCCAGGGTGAGGACCAGATGTGCCCAGCACTTCCACCACTTGTAACGGGTTGTTGAACAAGAAGGCGAACTCGGCGAAGGAGAGCTTTTATTTAGCGCAAGGGCTAACTGAACGCAAGCCTGCGACACCGCAAGGTCTTCTTCTTTTTCTATCATCGAGCTCCATGCCCATACCCTCGTTACAATTATATATAATATATATATACTATATATATATATACGAAAGTGTTTTATGGCTTTCCCAGATTCGGGGACATCAGTACTCGCACCATCACTCGGCAGTATCAACGGCATCCTGCGCTAACTGAATGAGAAAGAAGAAAGAAATATCTTTTTAAATAAACTAGTCATCAACAAAGACTGCTTGTTTTATGTGGCAGAGACCCACTGGAGCAATCAGCCAAAGTTGAAGCATCACGCTAAAAAATGTGTGGTTTCCTACAACAATTAAACACCGCCCATCGGAAATACGTCGAATTCTATTGTTAGTTTTAAACGCTGTAGAAAGCCACGGCGTTTTCATTCTGACACTGTAATTTTATCAGAATTCTCCAGCGGGTCTCTGCTGCTTGCAGACAACTGGCAGTCATGTTCGTTAACTTGTTTTCATCGGATGTAATTTTTCGCCTATTTGCCGTTCAGTTACGGCAGGTCACTGCTGTCGACAACGAGAGATGGTGCTACCTGTCCGTGTACCGTTCCCGTTATAAAGGGAACGGCACCATGTCATCATCATCAACAACAGCCCAAATCTGGTTATTAATGTCTGTCACGTCTACCATGCCACTTACTGACGCCATTTTTGTCACGAAAATGACGTCATTCAGAATAGGCAGAACAGGCAGGAGACACATCGCATCGTGGTCGATAGAGAATGTATAAAAGGCGGAAGGCGTGAAGACGCTAAGCACTATGGAGATTTCAAAAGGACATTTTGGATCAGTGTAAATATTGCACCACATCATCATCATCAACAACAACCCAAATACTGGTTATTAATGTCCATCACGTCTACCACGCCACTTACTGACGCCATTTTTGTCACGGATATGACGTCATTCATAATAGCCAGATGAGGCAGGAGACACATCGCATCGTGGTCGATAGAGCATGTATAAAAGACGGAAGGCGTGAAGGAGCTCTGCACTATGGAGATTAAAAAAAACATTTTGGATCAGCGTAAATTTTGCGGCAGAATCTGCTCAAATTTCACCCGTCGCTCTGTTCTATTGGTTGTGGTTCTCCACTGCTGACCCGAAGGTCGTAAATGAAATCTCGGCCACGGCGTTTGCAACTGTTTGGAGGTTGAATGCTGGAGGCCCAAGTCTACTACGAGTTAGATACACGTTAAAGAATACCAGGTGGTCGTAATTGCAGTATACCCTCCTCCTCGTCGTCGCTCATAATTATATCATGATTTAGGTACGTAGCACCCCAACGATTATTATTATTATTATATTATTATTATTATATTATTATTATTATTATTATTTTTATTATTATTATTATTATTATTATTATTTTATTATTATTATTATTATTATTATTATTATTATATTATTATTATTATTATATTATTATTATTATTATTATTATTTATTATTATTATTATTATTATTATTATTATTATTATTATTGATGAAATAGTACTAAAGAGTTCATTTTCGCACAAATTACGGTGTCTTTAGTTGTTAGCGAAAAATCAACGTTGCCCGTGAGCGACGAATCGAAATAGATCCAGATTAATAAAAAAAACCGCAGTGGCTTAGCTCAGCTATGCCACGATATACGTAGCGTTAGCAAAGGTTCAGTTGATTTTTCTTAGCTTTCCAGATATCATGCTTACAGCTGTTCCAATGACACACACACATGGTATACGTATTATGTGGCACATGTATATTTATTTTGCCGGGCAACTACTTCGGAATTCGATGAGTTAAGCTTCTCCACTCTACTGCACCGTTGAGCAGCATTTGCATTCTTCTTCTCCATGGCTATACCACAGTGACAAACACCAGTCAGAGGCGCTATCAAGCGGCTCCAGCGCAGTGTCAGGTGGCGACTGCACAGGGATGGCGCGCGCGTCGGCGTCCATATGTCTACCAAGGCTATGACGACACTCCTCTGGAAAGCGCACATCGGCGGCGGCGAGTCGCGCGCGGCCGCGGCCGTGTACGATGGAGGTGCCGGCTCTGGTGCGTGACACCACTGATCGTCTGCGCAGCGCATCGAATCGCGCGCACACCGGCGGCGGAATATCATTGCGCATGCGCAGACCAGTGCCACGCGAAATCGACTCAGCGAGGCCAGTGTAGCTAACGCTACAAAAATATATCTTCAGCTTCGGTGGGAATCAAACCCCGGCTTACATCGCGGCAAGGAGGTGTTCCACGACATAGCCACGCCCGTGCTGTAGCGTAGGATTTCACGATGTCTCAAAACATGAGTAGCGCGACGAGTGGTTAGCTTAAAGGCCTACTCATGACAAAGTACTTGGGTGTAATTTATCAGCAGCAACAGCATCAACAAAACTGGGCAGATATGGAGGTGCACGTGTTGCCTTGCAGACGTGTAGTGGGTGACGGGTGGTAGTATTAGTATTAGTATTAATAATAATAATAATAATAGTAATAATGATAATAATAATAATAATAATAATCTGAGCCATCTTATGGCCTGTTGTTTCTTAACGCTCACTAATACTGCGACTAACTAGCCCAAAGGAACGTTTATGAATGCTTCCCAAAGCATTGGCTCCGGAGTGAGCCCGCAAAATGCGTCCTTCACGTGTCCATCGGTGTTGCGTGCATTGCGCAGGTCGGCAATCACCATATTTCCGCCGCGCACGGACGGCCAGCACGACTACAAGGTGTGGAACTCGCAGCTCATCCAGTTTGCCGGACACAAGCAGCCCGACGGCAGCGTCATCGGTGATCCGGCCTCCGTAGAGCTCACAGAGGTCGGTATACGTGTACCTCTCGCATGGCAATTCAAATCGAAGGCATCTATGTTGGGCAGATCGTATCAATCACGCTGGGTCTCATCGCTGCACCGCGCTTTGTTGTTGTTGTTGTTGTTGTTGTTGTTGTTTTACACGATTTCTTCCATTCCCTATGTTGTTGTTGTTGTTGTTGTTGTTGTTGTTTTACACGATTTCTTCCATTCCCTATGTTGTTGTTGTTGTTGTTGTTGTTGTTGTTGTTGTTGTTGTTGTTGTTGTGTTGTTGTTGTTGTTGTTGTTGTTGTTGTTGTTGTTGTTTTACACGATTTCTTCCATTCCCAAGACTTGCGGACATTGCGTTTGGCACCATCTCTCGGTGGCAGCAACGGCTTCTTCCTGCCATAACTTAACGGGAATAAGCTGAGAGGGAAAAAAAGATATCTGACTAAACAGAGCTAGTTATCAAGAACAACTCTTGGTTATATGCAGCAAATACCCACTGCAGCATTCTGGTAAAATTGCAGCACCACACTACAAAGCGTGTGACTTCCCAGTGCAGTGTTTTTTATTATTATTAATATTCTGAGAGACTTGCCTTTAAGGCATAATATTTTTGCGTGCATGTGTATTAAATGTCTGCCGTTAGGCCAGTGTCGTGTAGGAAACGAAGTATAGTGTTTTGTAGAATGCATTGTCATGTATCCGGTGGTCGGAACTGGTTCTGCCGCTGTAGCGAAGGCCGGCTTGTAGAAGGTGACGGGAGCGTTCCGGCTGTAACTCTTGACAAGTTCATATAAGGTGGTATGCATCTGCTTGAATCACTGGAGTGGTACAATACGGACACGTATCCCCAACTGGTAAATGCGACCAGTTTCGTGATTATATAAAGGACGGTGTTAGGGCCACCTCTTGCCCGAAGCCTCCTAAGCACAACTTCTGCCCTATAGTAAGATGAGGGGGGGGGGAGAGAGAGAGAAAGTAGACACGCGGTGGAATAAGAGCGCGTGCATCCTGCCGGAAAACATTTTTACTGGTAGGAGGGTTGATAGGCGGGCTAGTTGCCCAAAATTTGAGCTCGTGATGTCAGGCACTGTCGTGGTTCAAGTGAGCGCGACTGTACAATATCGCATTCAACAGGCATGCAGGTGCAACAAAAAATATTTCCCTGCCTATTCAAAAACACGACGGACGGCTGTTTACATCTGATAAAACTGTCCGTGCAAGTTTATTTTGTTCGTGCAGTCCCACTTACAAATAAGCTGAGAAAGGTAAATCTATACCGTTCCTAAGAATCGTCAACTGAACGACTTTATATTGATTAACGCTGAAAATTTTGCGCTACGAAACAGACGAATGCGTATACGCGAAATAACAACAGATTAATTGAGTGAATGTTTGTTTCAGAGAAAAACATGGCGTCTGCATCTTTCCACGGGGGGGAACTCGAGTAAATGCGTCGCAGCAAGGCGGGGGGGGGGGTGGCATCGCGTCAATGTTGCGTAATTAGGTATAGTTTGGGAATGCTTGTTATTTCGTCTTTATTCTTATTTATTAAATGAACGAGAAACGAAGGCAATTAATGTAAAGTTCAAGTGTGTCTTTATTGATTTGTGCCGTCGTTGTATTGGACGGAGAGGAAGACGCCCCGACTGCTCGAGGGAGACGAGACGAGGCGTGAGACGAGCCGAGCATTCGCAGTGGAGGTGTGGGTGACGCCGACGCCGAAGCACGACATCGTGCGACTAAGAAACGCTCCACATTTAAAACATGAGTGTACCGAAGAAATACTAGTAGGCTTATATATAGCATATTAACAAAAATAAAACAGCATGAATTATGTAGCACTAGAAACTTCAAAAGCGTCTGCTTTTAAGTGGTAGATCATAAAATTATGGACAAATGTACATGCGAGGGTCGTCAATCTTCAAAATCTCAGAACAGGGGCTGTTTCTCGTGAAGCACTACAGAGGGCCAGTGGACACCTCCTGCGTCAGTATTGTGTACACTCTTCGCATTTAGAAATACGATCCCGCCTCTTTCTTAAAGGAAAATAACTTCAACTTTTTATGATACACTCAATAAAATAATGTCCTTGTCGAGCATATCATGCTGTAAAAGAACATATTAAGACGATGACACAATGCGAGCGCCCTTATCACTTGAATTTTTTTTCGGGGGGGGGGGGGAGAACTGACCGAAAAAATGGCAGAATATCCACGGAGTGAATGATGGAGCGTGGGGCGAAGCATCCGTCTGTCCATTCGTTCTTGCTTACGTCCGTCCATGCATCCGTCTGTGTGACCGTCCGTGCGTCTATCCGCCCGTCCGTGCGTGGGTCTGTTCGTGCGGCCGCACGTCCATGTGTGCGTCGGTCCCTGCGTTCGTCCATGCATCCGCCACTGCGTCCGTCCACGCGTCCATCCGTCGGTGCAGCCATCCGTGAGTCCGTCCATGCATCTGCTTGTGTGTCCGTTCGTCCATCTATTCAACACTACAAGTACCACCATCTCGCATCTTTTCATCATATTGTAAAGAAGAGGAAGTACTCCGGCACAGAGGCAGCAGCATCGAGCGTGCAGCAGCGGCTCGAGCTCGGAAATTGCGGCTGGTGCATCGCCTCCCAAGCCTTCCAAGCATCAACCTTTCTGCTCAATAAATCTCTTTTATAATTGGTGGAGGTGCTGGGTACCGTCCCTTACACCTTCCCGCTACCATTCTGGAACTCCGTTCTCGACTGCTACCTTCTGCTATGCCGGACGCCGCTCAGCAGACGCTTCCATCTCTTCCGGCCACCTTTCCAGGCAGTGTTCCTCAGCGGGAGCCTCCAATATTCAGTGGAACAGATGACAACGACGTTGAAGATTGGCTCTCGACTTTCGAACGGGTGAGCGCTTTAAACAGATGGACGGACGCGGACAAGTTGACACGCGTGTCGTTCTACCTCGCGGGTGTAGCCAGCCTTTGGCTTAGAAACCACGAGGCAGACGTCCGAACGTGGCCGCAATTTAAAACGTCAATTGTAGCAGTCTTCGATCGACCTGCCTGCCGTCCGAAAACTTCGTGCCGAGCAACGTTTACGCACACGCGCACAACAAACGGGTGAAACCTTCACAAGTTACATAGAAGACGTCGTCGATTTGTGCAGACGCGTGAACGCCGCAATGACGGAAGCTGAAAAATGTAAGCACATCCTCAAAGGGATTGACGACGACGCTTTTCAAATGCTCTTGGCGAAAAGCCCGACCACTGTTAACGACGTAATTCGCCTCTGCCAAAGCTACGATGAATTGCGGAAGCAGCGAGCTCTGACAAGACGTCCTCAAGCGCACGATTTGGCATCGCTGTCTAGTATGATCAGTGGTCATGACCAAGCGTCACTAATAGCCGAAATAAAAGCATTTGTCCGCGAAGAAGTTGCACGACAGCTTTCCTTGGTGCCTTTCACACCAGAACCTACCAACACTTTACCATCGTCTCTACGTGGCGTCATTCGAGCAGAGGTCGCCGAGGCCTTACCAGCTGCTCGCGAGCCTAATCTTGTGGCTGCTCCTCTCACCTACGCCGCGGCTGCAGCCATGCCAACTCGCAAGGCGCCTGCGCCTCCGTTCCAGCCTCGCGCGAGCTATCCCCCAGCTCCAGTTCACTGGACCAGCACTAACACCGCCAACCCGTGGCGCACCCTAGACAATCGCCCGATATGTTACGCTTGTCGATACCCCGAACACGTCGCAAGGTATTGCCGCCGCCGGACGCATGTCACCAATGAAAACCGCCGTGAGCCTTTCTTCCCGATTGACTCCAACGCGCGATACGGTTCCTCCACTCCAATGCCAGCCCGCTACCAGGACGACCACCGCCCTCGGTCGGGACGTCTTCGCTCGCCCTCTCCACGCCGCCGCTCGCTTTCTCCTGTGCGTCGACGGCCCGCGCCTAACGAGGAGGAAAACTAGACGACGCAGTTCCTGAGGCAAGAACTGCGCAAGTTTTGGTTTCCCCAAGTCCTCATTTGTCACCTACCAGTGTTATTGATGTGTTCGTCGAAAATGTCCCTACTGTCGCTCTTGTAGATACCGGTGCAGCTGTTTCTATTATAGATGCTGGATTTTGCCTCTCAATTCGTAAGGTTACGACGCCTTTCTCCGGATTATCGCTTCGCACAGCCAGTGCTCAAACATGTTCAACCGACCGCCGTTTGTACAGACCGCGTGACAACTGAGGACGTTCTGTATACGATAGAGTTCGTGGTTCTTTCATCGTGCTCCCATTTTATTTTCTTGGGATGGGACTTTTTGTCGCGTCATAACGCCATAATTGACTGTGCTAGGGCTGAGGTTGAATTTTGCTCACTGGATTACCAAGCGTCCGTCCACACCCAGTCTGCCGCTAAACTTGTCGTTAGCGATGACACCTACATCCCTCCATGCTCTTTTGCGTTCGTGCCAGTTTCATGCAGCGCCATATCCGACGGCACGGTCTTTTTCACACCATCTCCAATATACGTCGCCCGAAGAGCCCTCCCCTTGCCTTTTGCTGCTCTAGATCTTCTAGAAGGCTCAACCACAATGCCAATTTATAATCATGGGTCGTCGTCTTTATCCCTACTTTGTCACGAGTGCCTTGGCCACGTCGAGACAATCAGTTCTTCCAGAATTATATCCGTCCCCGATGAGGTGCCTTCTACCTCCGTCTGTGAACTGGCTGTCGTCTCAGCGCCTGACTCAACGTCGGCAAACATATTTTAACCATTCATTGCTGCAGATTTGACATCTTCGCAGCGTTCACAACTCCTCACCATTCTTGAGAGCTTCCGCCATTCTTTCGACGTTGAACAAACATCTCTCAGCCATGCCTTAGCAGTAGAACACCACATCGACACTGGGTCCCACTCACCGCGGCGACAACGACCATATCGCGTGTCCGCTATAGAACGCCGCGTCATTGCTGACCAAGTAGATGACATGCTTCGCATAGGCGTCTGTCACACAGGTCCCGTTAATTTGGGAGGCGATCGCCGGGCT